ACTAAGCCCATATGCACCTTAGATATTACTACTTTAAATTAACATTTTGATGTTTAATATTTTACAGTTTGATGCATTATAATATTATCGATACAACTGCTTCATCCACAACAGAAGTGCATAAGCTTTTTATAGAGGGCTGGAATGATATTATCAGTACCATAGAAAAAATTTTGACACCTAGTGAAACACAATTAGCTTCTTTTACTGGTTCTGTATATCAAGACACAGAAAATGATAGAATATCAGAAGAAGTAAAGCAATATACAAAAGATGTCACAACAAATGTAGTGAGTAGGAATTATTTTAAAGTATGATTTATTTCATCTCTAATGTTTATTTAGCAAAGAAATTGTGTACTGCCATAAAAATGGAGTGCGCAAAATTGCGAACTGGCAATAATATAAAATAGAAGAGACAGACTTTAGGGTTGATAAAAATCTTGGAAGTATTCTGTGCAGGTTATTTTTAATCTAGTTTTACAATTTGCATTATTATAGTCAAGATCAGCTCTCAACTGGTATAAACTATTTCAAAGAGGATCAAACTGAATACAATTATATAATTCGGTTTATTTCTCGTACCTATAATATATTATTTAAAGACAAGATATTTTTGAAACAAAGTTGGAAAGTCGAAATTATTTTAATATCCATTTGTATTGTTTTATTTATCATTAATTGGTATACAATAGGGGCAAAAAAACTTTACGATCTTCTGCAATTCTACTTAATCAGTTGTTAAAAGATGACGATCAATGTTGTTCCGGTAATAAGTTGATATAATCATATCAATAGCTGAGCTAGACTTAGAGATTTCAACTTTAGAAGTTACAGGATCTTTATCGTGTCCTGAGCATACTCATTACATTGGAGACAGAAATAAAATTGCAAAGATGCTCAAGACTATCTTAAATTTCATCAAAATAAGTTATTCAGATTATTAAAAAAATAAAAGTCTATGGTGTCCAAGTATATAGTAAGTTATATATACCAGATAAATATTTCTATTTTAAATATAATTAACATTTTTTTTTTATAAATTTCTATAGACTATAACTTTTATATTTATAGCATGTATTTACCTTTCGCCAGTATTTATTATTTAAAATTGGAAAAAAAGTTTTCTTATCCGACAATACCATTTATATTTGTCAAAGAGTTTAAAATTTTGCATATATATTATAATGTTAATTTAATGAAATTCTTGAAAATTAGAATATGATAGTTTCGAGTACTAGAAACATAATAAGTTATGTTACAAACCCTATTACCGATTCAAGTGAAGATGATTCCAAAATTGATAATATGAAATCTCCACCCAAAAAAAAAGAGAAATTTTAGATTGAAATAAAATTGGTTCATTACAAAAATTTATGTTATCAATATCTTTTATATGACAACAAAACCTAGTTAACATATGAATAGTTCGCATGTATGATCCTAAGTATCTCGAGATCCATTAGGGGTGAGATTGCATAATAAACACAAACATAACCATATCAGCCGATTTTTGAAATTTATAAGTAGAGTGTATTTTTTTAAAAACTTCAAAGCTAAATAACTTCTGATTTACTGGTCCATTTTAAATGATTTTACTACCAAAATGTTCGTCTCTTTGAGACGATTCCAACGAGCCCAAAATCATTAAAATCCAATCACAAGATCGTGAAATAATGCGCTGTCAAATAGTGACGCACCTAGAGGGTGGGTTCATTGGTTAGACCTATATCTAACCAATAAACCCTACTCTCTAGGTGTGTTACTATTTGACAGCACATTATCTCACGATCCTGTGATTGGATTTTAATGATTTTGGGCTCGTTGGAATCGTCTCAAAGAGACGAACATTTTGGTAGTAAAATAATTTAAAATGAACCAATAAATCAGAAGTTATTTAGCTTTGAAGTTTTTAAAAAATACACTCTACTTATAAATTTCAAAAATTGGCTGATATGCAAAGATCATATAATAAATTTTACTAGTTAAGATTTTTCCGACAATATCCGAATTTATATCATCATTTAAATATATTGGTTGTCAACATATAAATATCGGGAAGTTGTTAAACATAATGCTGTAACAATAATAAATTCTAAATCGTAATAACTTATGAGATAGTGAAACAGGGTTGAAAACATCATAGTAATTTGCCGGCCATTTACTGTGCCATTGCTTATTGTTTAAAGTGTCTTTTTTGATATATCACTATCGAATAAATTATTTTACAAGTATCTCATTTGATAAATTTATCAATTTGTAATATGCATATATATAATTGTAATTCTAGCCAATAAAATTCTAATATACCATAAATCAATAATGACACTTTTTGAATGGCCGGCAAATTACTATGGTATTTTCAACCCTGTAGTGAAGGTATATCTATAAAATTATAATTCTTCGAATCATTTTAATTTGCCCTTTAGTGTAATAGAGCCATTTTCGCCTTTTTTATATAATTAAAGCATTATTTAGAATTAAAAATCCAATTTTTATTATTAAAAGATTCAAAATAGCTCTATTTCATTAAAGAGCATGTTAAGACGATTCGAATGGATATAATTTTATAAGTATATCTTTATTAGTTCACGAGCTATTAAAATTTAGATTTTACTATATTTTGCTATCGTAAAAAATGATCGACAAAAAAAAATAATAAATTATGATCTTCACTACTGCACTATGTTTATTATGCAATCTTACCCCTAGAGATCCATAGATTGCAGTGTTGTTAATTTAACCGGGTAAATAATAATTAAACAATTACAATAAAATAGAACTGCATTTTATATTTTTATATTGTTAAATATTATATAAATATAGCCCTCTTAGAGTCAGCCATTTGACACAATTACAAATTCTAAAATAATCAATCGCGATCGTTTAACAATTGCAGGAATAAATTTGAACCGAGTCAAAAAAAATGTCTTGTCTTATAACTTGTCTTGAACTGGTTAAATAACCGAGGTTCAAAATTCCAAATAAAGACATTAAAAACACTGATGGATTGATAAAAGACAATAGGATAAAATATTATCTACCGGTCATTAAAGCAAAAATACTCTTGGATAACGAATCATTTGAAGAAGTGAAAAAATTTGTTCATGCTCTATTGATTTTACGAGTGAGTATTCTTTTAACTATGCTAAGTAAATTTCTGAAATATTTATTTGTCATGAAATGCTACTAATACAAAGAAAATCCACAAACTCAGAATGAGGTTATCATAAATTTGCAGAGTATTGTGAATAGTTTTCAAAAAAAGATCGAGGGAAGAGAGTAATGTAGGCACTTCTTCCTATAGTACTGGAAGATTAAACAAGAAAAAAAGCACAGGTTTCCAGAATGTATCTACATCTTGAATTTCGATTTGTATTTCTATATTTTTTTTTTTATATAATAAAGCTAACCCTAGTGGTTGATTTCGCATACATAATCGCGCTTATTTGTTGTATGCATATTTGGTGCAAGATTCATATCAGAATTAAATATCATAAAACAAGTCACAGAAAAATCATGGTGGGCATCGATTACCAGCGGCAGGGGTGATTGCCATCGATTAGAACAATCGTTAATAATCGATATTAAAATCGATTATAAAAAAAATCGATTGTAATCTTTTCTAAAAAAAAACCACTCAAAAGGTAGACCCGGGTGTAAATCACAGGATCTTCTTTAACCAAATACTGTTTTCTTCAAAAATTTGTCATGTACTAGACTCGGGATCTACTATAGGTATTAAATTGGTGGAATGTAAGAGACCCAGATCTTTTATATGGCAGTTTACGGCACATTTCTTTGTCATACTTTAGACTCATCAAACTTGGACCTTACCATAAGATCTTTTATGATTCTGTGACATGTATGCCTTATAAGGCTTCGGGTAAGTTTCGTTTATGGATCTGAGTTATCCTGGCTTTGTTCGTTGACTATAGCGATTCTTGGCTCTTTCAGATTAGAATCACTTTTTATTTTTTTATTTATAATCCAGTACTAACTTTATTGCGTCCGGGTTTCAAAATCCTTCTTGAGCTTCAAATACAGAACTTCAGAAAATACGTTGTTTAGAATCACTAGGCAATTCGGATTTCTCATCAGTACCAGACCATAGGTAAGGGACTTGGCTGTTTTTTAACGCTTTTTATTCTCTATTATGTTGTTACTTTCAGATTCAGTGCCAGATAAGTATAAATTTACTTCTTTTATTTTTATTTTTATTTTTTATTTTTTATTCTTGGTTTTATATTATTTTTTACTGGCTTATTCGTTTATTTTTTCCCTTTTTTGTTATCAGCAGGGCTTTTCTGGTGACAGGTTTGGTACGAAATACGATGCATCAAACTGTAAAATATTAAACATCAAAATGTTAATTTAAAGTAGTAATATCTAAGGTGCATATGGGCTTAGT